CCCCCCCCCCCCCCCCCCCCCCACCCCGCCGCCGCCGCCCTCCCTGTTGTGTTTTGTTGGTTTGGTTCACGCCGCAAAACCCTCCGCCCACCGACCGACCCTGCAACACGGGCTTGCGCTCCCACTTCGTCTGTTGCCGGCTTCGACAGTTCCCCAACTGCCCCAAGAGCGCGCAGTCGAAGACGAACTTCTGCGTCCGCCACGGGGGCGGGCGAAAGTGCTCCATCCCGGGCTGCCTCAAGGTGGCCAGAGGGAGGACGTCACACTGCGCGGCGCACGGGGGAGGGGTCCGCTGCTGCGTGGAATCGTGCAACAAGGCCGCCGTTGGAAGGTGAACACACATATGGTACTGCATATATATATATATTTATTTTTTTAGGTGGATAGGCAAACCTGTTGGACGTTTTTGTACGCAAATTGTTGACGTTTTCTTTTAGTAGATAACCATTTCTGTTGACTGTTACAAATATACGCAATTCTGTTTACGTTTTTTTGGGGGGAGTTCGTCTCCGTGGCGGTTTGTGCTGGCCAGGCATGGGGTAATTCTTCATGGCGGCGGTTTTTTTTGTGTGTGTGTACTGCTGTGGTGCGCTGGGTTTTGCGGTGGTCAAGCCCCACGTGCTGCTCCCCAGCGTTTTTTTTTTTTTTGCTTGTGTATATCTGGAGGCGTTTAGCCCGAAGTAGTTCTATCTGGATACATTCAGTGCGTGGTTTATGGATGTCTGGGTGTCTGTGATGTAACTTGTGAAGAGAATAGTCTAACGTGCCACACATACTGTACAATCGCTCCCGTTATCCGTAACTCTGCGGCCCTGAACTCGTGATTTCTCACGCCCATGGTTGTCGAATTGTGCGCTGCTATGTATTACTGCGTTGTTTTGACAGGGAAAGGATGTGCCGAAGCCATCAGAGAAGATCCAAGAACGCATCGGCTGCCGCCGCCGCCGCCGCCGCCGCCTCCGCCGCAGCCGCGGGGGTAGCCGGTGTTCCGGCCTTGCCCCCCGGTTCCATGGCGGTACGTGAATCCGGTGGTCGTTCTGCTGCTGCTGCTGCTGCTGCTGCTGGAGCTGCGCTGCATTGTTAGCTGTTGGTGGTCCGCAGCTGTGAACAACTTAAAAACGAGTTGGAGCGTCGGAGAAGGCTGGTTGGCCGTCTGTCTTGTTTGCTGGAGGTGCCCGCCGCCCATCCGTGGTGTGTTTTTCTCTCGTCTTGTCTCCCGAGCCCTCTCTTACAACCCCCCCCGCCCTCGGTTTCTTGGTTGTAGCAGGCTCCTGCTCCCGCCTCGGGTTCGGCACCCCCCGCAGCCGCGGCCGCCCTCTCGGTGCTGTCGACGGCTGCGGCAACGCACAGCGTGAGCGACTTCCTCGACCCATCTGGATTGAGCGGCGGCGGTGACACCGGCATTGTTGCTGCACCGATGATGCAGCAGCAGCAGCAGCAGCAGCAGCAGCAGCAGCTGG